CAATTAACAGGGTGAAAAGGCAACTCATGGAATGGGAGAGAATATTTGCAGATCACGTATTGGATAAGGGATCAATATCCAGTGTATATAAAGAATTCCTACAACTCACCAGCAAAACACCAACAACCCAATTGAAAAATGGACAAAGGACTTGAATAGACATCCCTCCAAAGAAGGCAGACACATGTGCAATGAGCACGTGCAATGAGCTCAACAATCACTAAGCATTCGGGAAACACAGAGCAAAACCACACTGAGATACCACTTCACACCCCTTGGGATGGTTATCATTTTTTTAAGAGGAAGAAATAAAATAACCAGTGTTGTTGAGATGTGGAAAAATTAGAATACTGTGCTTTGCTGATGGGGATGTAAGGTGGTGCAGCAGTTGGTGGAAAACAGCATGGAAACTTAAACATGGAATTATCATCTGATCCAGTAATTCTGCTTCAGGATATACACCCAGAAGATGTGAACGTGGGAGTTGGAAGAGATAGTCGCACACGCATGTTCACAGCAGAGTTATTCACAAAGCCAAAAGGTGAGAGCAAGCCAAGGGTCCACTGACAGATGGAAAAACAAATTGAGGTCTCTCCGTACAATGGAATACTATTCAGCCTTGCAAAGGAAGGAGATTCTGGCACATGGATGAACCCCGGACATTTTGTTAAGTGAAAGAAGCCAGTCACAGAAGGACAATGGAATATTGCATGATTCCATTTATATGAAATTCCTGCAGTAGGCAAACTTGTAGAAACAGAAAGTAGAATGGTGGTTTCCACAGGCTGTGGGGAGGACATGTTGGGGTCAGTGTTTCATGGGCACAGAGGTTCAGTGTGAGAATATGAAAAGCGTTTCGGAGATGGATAGTGATGATGTCTGCACAATGAGGCCAATGTGCTTAATGCCATAGAAACAAACCCTTTAAAATGGTTGACATTGCAAATGTTATGTTTTGTACATTTACCACAATTTAAAAAAAATTTAAGTGAGGTATAGTCATGAAAAAGACTTTGGTTCACAGATACTCATTTCGCACAGACATTCAAAACCATCTTGAGCGCCTGCTCTCTCTTAGTTTCTTCAGGACAGAATCCTCTTGTCTTCATCCATCTCTTCGTTTTTCCTAAATGCAAAGGAAAGCCACTCTCCCATCCTTCCCTGGGGCTTACCATTCTTAATCCTTCCAGCAGTCCCGTCACACTGTGGCCAGGCTCTGAGTCCTGGGGGATCTTGTCCGTGAACATGAGTCCCCTTCACCATCAGCTCCTGCCCCAGTATTAAAGCTGGGCTGGGGCTCCATCAGCCTAAGGAGAACCTCCTCTGCGTGCTCTCCGCGCAGGCCACCATCCAGGCTCCTCTGCTCTGCATCTCCCTGCAAATGTCGCCATGTTGTGTCCACTCCTCTCAGGCGGGCTTGCCCGCTCCCCATACAGCTGTTCTCACAGGTCACTAATGTACTGGTCTCCAAACCCGTTATCTCGTTCTCAGGCCTACTCCTCTGAAACCTGCTTGTAACAAACCATAGCATTGCCTCCACCTTCCTCATAAAGGGTCAGGTGCTCACTCCACCTCAGAACCCAAGTCCCTGGGAGTCCAGGGGGCTTGTGTGCCCCCAATGAAGCACCCTGTCCACCTTGCCCTACGATATGCAAGAGCAGATTCAGAGAGCAAAAAAAGGAAGGAGCTGCTATATAAAGCAGTCCCTACTGTGAATTTCAGGAACCAAATCAGTCCAAGTAATCTGTGAATTTCACAGTTGTGGAAACTTACAACCCAGGCCCCAAATGTCAGAAGGACTCCCTGACTCTTGGTGTCTATAGAACTCAGGCGGGGACGCAGGGCTCTTGTCTGGGCTTTCTGAGTCTGGATGACAGAATGACTCAGTGGTCTTTCCGTGAGGCTTCTGTTCCCATTATCTGTCCTCGGCGTGTGATGCAGCTCTGCGGCCCAGGCTCTAAGGAGGAGGACTTCCAGGTAAATGAGCCTGCATTTAATGTTACATTCAATCCCAGTCCCTGTGTACAGAAGGAAGGGAAACTACCTGCTCTGCTAGAATAAAATACAGCTTGGGAAGAAAGCAATTCGCAGCGGTAACTGTGTGGAGCCCCAGTGGAAGACATGGATGGCTGGGAAATTAGGATGGAGGCTCCCACCTTCCCAAACACAGTGCACAGTCGCCAAGAGGAAGGAGGCTCCCCACTGTTGAGAAGGATTTCATCATCCTCACGCTCTGTCAGACAGGTTTATATCGCCGTCTTTTTCCCTGGGCCTTGATTCATCCAACTAGTCTCCCATGCAACCCAACTCCTCACATGCGAAAGAGGCTTAGCGTGTGTTATGTGTGTGCGTGTGTGTCCTCTCTCCGCTGCTCCTCCCTCCCCTGCTTCTCCCTTTCACACTCATGGAATCTATTACTTTCCTACAGGTTCCTTCTCCTTCAAGGAAACTTGGCCTTTTCAGTGGCCCAAGACACAACATTCCTGGAATCTGCTGAACGGTAGATTTGGAGGAGAAAATGTCTAGATACGACTTTGGCTCAAATTTAGATGATGCTCGTCTGACGCACATGCAGGTTCTGTTGCCTGAGTTTGAGTGCAGGGGCACAGTGTGGTTCCAGGATGGATGTTTTTAATCTTATTTAAAACTTTTAAATCCTAATTTTCATCTGTATAAAAATACGGTTGCTTATCTCGAAACCTTTAGTAATCTGTATGTCCCTAAACCTTGCCAGTTTTGAGTATGAATAAGGGCACAGTCCCAGAGACCACACGAGGGTCAGCTGCTCCCTGCACCACGGGCTCACCGAGGTGCCGCTCGGCTCCGTCCGTCCTCTCTCAGCTCCCCTGCCTGCGCCGCCAGCCTCCTCCACGAGGAGCCACCACTCTCCTCCAGCCGTCCTGCTCTGCTCGGCGCTCACGGTTCTGGGTCAGACCGTGGTCAGAGCTCTGAGGGATGGGAAGAAAAACCCATCTTGGACCTTCTTCTTGCCAAGTTGTTGCCTGGGAGAGTCACTGGAGCCCCTGGGCGACACCACTTGTGTTTATACACACACAGCACACACACACATTCTTGGTGGGTTCACAACCGGCCACCACTTTGTTTGCAGAACGATAACTGCCCCCCAGCTTTAGATGCTGGGCTGCATCCAGCTAGTCACAGGGACTCCCATTATAATGGTCCATTTTAGAGTTCATGGATTTCTCTCAAGGACCACAAAGACCCCTTAGCGATTCAATTCCTGTTTCCCCCGTTCTGACAACAGGCCTGTCAATGCCTGAACCCCAACACCTGGCTACCATTCAGGCTCTGTGGGTCAGAGTAGAGAGGTATTGCCCCCCCCCCAACCTGCTCCGGATTTCATGGTGAGCTACACCTCCCACCGACCTTTAATTTACTTTATCTGCAGTGTTCATGGTTGATTTTCAATCACTATCTAGTCCTCTTATTTTAGGAAGAAACTTGGGCTCTGTGTTGTGGACCCAGATGCTGTCAGAGCATCCCGTAGTCTGAAAGGAGCGCGGGAGATCTGACTCACAGGACTGGCAGCCAGGGGCTCAGGAGCGGCAAGCCGGGGACTGCCCACACCCCGGGAGCTCCCCCCACGGCAGCCAGGCCCGGCTGATTGATGGCGCTCCATCCGCCAGGCTCCAGGCAGATTGGGTTGCCTGAGGAGGAAATCGTCAGGTCCCTCCACCTAGAGCCTGCTTGACTCGGTCATGAGGGGCACGTGAAGCAGGTGGTCCCGTGCTGGGTGGGGAGAGGACAGAAGCTGAGACTCAGACACGAGGCATCTGACTCCTTTTGCTTTTGTATTTGGGTTTTGTTTTTTTTTTCCATTCAACTGTAATTGCTCAAAATAGGCTGGTGACGGTTTCACGGTGTCTACATATGTCAGAATCTGTCCACGTGCTCTGACGCGAACCGCTGATACGCCGATTGTGCTTTGGCAAAGCTGTCTGAAAATACTTCATCATGATAAGGGACATTTCAATCCAAAATATTTATTACATATCAAAAGTCATCCTCCCACCAACAACGCATTCTGACATCTGTACGTAGGACTTACCATCGATTGTCATGGGACCGTTCACTTCAGACACTGGGACCTGATTTGGCTTCTGCCAGTCATGCATGAAAGGTGCAGACAGCGACAGAGGCCCACAAACACTAGCTCATAGCTGCACCCCCACAAATACACACGGGAGCCCCCTCTGCCCCCCGCCTCTCCATCCTGCTGTTCATGGCCCAGGGACAACTGGATTGAACATTTAAAAGCCCCAGTGTTTGCCATGGTTCTGGTCTCCTTTGCTTCGGCGGTCTTTGTCTTCCAGCCTGATCTTCCAGCCACCCTCTGTTCCGTCCTGAATCCCTGCTGTTGTCCCCGTGCCCTTCCCCTGGCTCCTCTGCCCTTGGTTTAGTGGTCCCCAGCCTAATCACCCTCCTTAATGAGAGTAAACTTCCATGACCTTTGTGAAAAGGGGCTGGCTAAGCCCCACATCTCCACTTACACATTTCTGAATTAAACCTCTATCATCCCTGATGACTTTTTTCCTCCTGGTCAGTACCATAAAACCTCAGCATGCTGTGGTTTCTCCCTCTGGGAATAAGATTGCTCTTGATTTATGGTAAATAACTGGGAAGATGCTCTCCGCTGTTCTGCCGTTCAGAGATCAGCAATGTTTGTGTGAATTCACATCCTGGGTGCCTCGGGGGCGGAACGGCTACCAGGAAGGTGTGATTTCCCAGAATCTGGTGCAAAGGGCCCTCTTGATCTGCTCCTTCATAGTTTCACTGCCAGGCTGATCCCCTGAGGGTATGGATCTAGAAAAGCAGTTCTCAAACCTTGTGCACCGTGATGGCATTTGCTTCAGCCCTGGTCCAACCATGCCTATCTCACAAACGCCCTACTGGAGACCTAGGGGGAGCCCTGCTCCTGATTATAATGGTCCATTTTAGGGGTAGTCGACATTAATATCATATCCTATTGTCCCTTCCAGCCAGCTGCCGTCCCTTCACACTTAGCAGTGGGAGCAAAGGCCCGGCTTTGCTGACTCTGAGAAGCAGTGCAGACTCCTGGGAGCAGATGAGCAATGACCCAGCAGAAGGCAGCGAGGAGTCCTGCAATGCAGCAGGTACGGAGGGGCCCTGCTGTGATGCGCCAGCCCTCGGGGCTCTTCTCGCCCTTCCTCCGAATCCTCTCCTCCTCCAGAGTGGGGTCTCCTGGGCAAAGTGCCCAAGAAAACTGTCCAGGACTGGGAAAGATATGGGGGTTCTCAATGTTAGAATAGTGTTTGGGAATGGCAGGCTTACTGAGTTTTCTAGAACACCCACATGACTTTTTTCTCTTTTATTTCTTTTTTTCTATTTTGAGGATTTTTTTTTTTACTTGCTTTTAAGCTCTTTTATTTTTTGAAGTTAAGACAGGAGCCTTCTTGATTAATACCGCTGCCAAATTAGTACTTTAATATTACAACAAAGAATAACATCCCTAATCACTATCAAGCACGGACATTTTCAATGCAAAAATCATTTACGTTACTTTTATCTGATGGTTTTTATGGCGAAACAAAATATCCAGCAAAAAGTTCCTAATTTACTTGACACTTTTAATGAAATGGGACTATTAGAACCTCGGAGGTAAAGTACCTTCAATACAAAACCAATGTGCTTTTCTTTGTTTCTAATGCAGAGAAGGTGGTGGCTATCTTGAAAAGAGATAAGTTGGTGTATTTAGGCGTGTTTATAACACGGAACTTTGTAACTTCTTAGCTGTCTGGTTTTGTATATTTATAAAACCAAAAGGACTTTGCATTGGCCGTGGAGAGCTCCATTTCGCTGCAAGTGTGGCTCAAGGGGCGGTGTATTCCGTGGCCCCTGTGGAAGGCAGAAAGTGTAGATGAGCTTCATTGTAAAGAACAAAGAAGTGGGTGATAGTTGACAGGGGAGGTGGGGGTCAAGATGGTTTGTCTGTTTTTGTTTTTGAACCTGGGCCAGGACAGATTGGTAGAACCCTACAAGCAGCCAACGGTGACATCTTACAGCCAGGGGGAGATTTTCTCCTATCTGTGGGAGGATCAAGAGCAAAATCAGCACCTTTCTGTTCAGACTTGATCATAGGAAGGGCTACTCATCCCTCCTGTCCAGACACCTTAAAGGGAGAAAGATCCTAGGAAGCTGCAGGCACACACACGCACATAATTCAATCCCAATGTCAAACTTAATTCCGGTGTGGAAACCAATACAAATGTCCTTACATTATTGGGTAGCCACATGTGGTGAGTGACTACTTACGGGAGAGCACAGAAGTAGATGATTTCCACCACCATGTTCTGCTGGGCAGCACCACTCTGCTTCCCAAAGGAAAAGGTATTTAATTTAAAGAAAGATTAGCGTGGGCATGGAGGAGATATTTGTGGGAGAAGGGAATAGAGCAGACTGGCAAGAGATTGGACTAAAATCCTAAATGAATTATAACAGAAACATGGTGAAAGCAAGATCACGCATTTGAAGAATTAGGAAACATTAAACCTAGGTCACCCATGAGCCTAGAAGAGGTGAGCATCAAACTGACTGCTACCAACCAGTATTTCATGTAAGAGCAAAAAAAAGGAAAGAAAACAGTAAAAATACAGTAAAGGCAGCTCCAAGAATTCCATTTCAAAATTGTATTTGTGATTCAGTTCTTTGCAGCCCTGAACAGGATTCCCTTGAAACCAAGACTGTTTGGTAATTTGCTGAGGAGCTGTCCACCCCCCCACGGCATCCTTGAATGGTGGCCTAATTAGCACCACAGGGTTCAAATTCTGAGGCTCAGGGAAGCCTTGCTTCCGACACCATGGAAGACCTTTGAGTCCCAGTTCAGTGCTCTTGGGACCTCCATGAGCAGGGGGTTGCTGACTAGGGCCTGAGCACCGGGAGACTTCGTTCTGAGCAGAGAGGAGGGATCTGTGCCAACCCCACCTGGGAGCAGAACCACGGCAGGGCTGGGGGAGCCGCTGAAGTAGCCTGAGTGGGGTCAGGTCCAGGAACCCAAACGTGGTGTTTGATCATGGTTACCGTCAGCATCCCTTCAGCCACATTCAGGATCAAATAGGATTTTTCTGGACTTCCCCCAGGAATTCCCATAATTATAAGACTACTGTTTCCATGGGGATATATTTTCTGTGTTTCAAACAACTGGCTTTCGGATCACAACATTTATATGCTAGCATCCCTAGAGAGGATTACAGGGTTAACATTTTTCAAAGACTTAAGTAAGTTCTAAATCACCTACTCTGATAGGGAGAGCCCTGGGGTTAAGTCTAAGAAGAATGTGTCATCTTACAAAAACTCTTGTGAAAAATCTGGTTTTCCTTGAATAAAACCATGTAAAACTGTTATTCACAAGTCTTTTTCTCCCTAAAGTCTAGATGGTAAGTGAAGATAGGATTTTAACATCCCAAATACTAGTTCCCAAAGGATTCTGTTATTAGATAATGAGAATTAATTACCCTCCAAGGTTTCCCTTTTTGTCTTGGTTGCCAGGAAGCTCCTAGCAAAATATATTGGTTTAATTATAGTTTGAGGTTTTAATAGGGAGGAATGTTAACACTGAGGACGAAGAGAATCATTAGGCTGGGAGGCAGGATGGGGGGATGGGACAATGACTTTGACTCTGGTTCCAATCCCTATATTTAGGTGAGTGGGATCAGAAACTGTATCAATCACCTTACATGACATCACACTGCAAACTTAACTGCTTATTAGAGCACTAATTTAATGACTTATAATGGCGATAAGCCCTGTCTAGGAGCCAGAATGCTCCTGCCTGGGACCCATGGAAAACTCTTCCATGATAGTGAGACATCTAAGAAGCCAATCCCATCATCAGAAGGTTGCTTAGGGAGTACAGAATGAAGGCAAAGGGAAATAACTGTCTAAAAGATGTTTCATCCAGACCACAGTTAACATCACTGAGGTACTCTTGTTGCCCGGTTGAGAACATTTGTCTGGTGATAGAAATGCTTTTGCTTTCCAGACTCTATCTCTTCCCCTCTCTGAAGAGCCACACGTTGCTAAAATGTGCGTTTCTGAAACCATTACTCCATGTCAGCCCCTCTCTGAATTTTCCTGGGATGTGTTTCCATCCCTGATGTTATTAGGGTTCTGTACCAGGAATATTTCCTTTACCTCCAAGTTCTTAGAGGGGCATGGGCCTGTCTGCTCTTCTTTCTCTCTCGTCATTACCCGTGTTATTATAAGCAATCTCAGTTTGAATCCAAATGAATGAGATTTGTAATCTTTATTTTTTTTTTAAAGATTTTATTTATTCATTCAACAGAGAGAGACACAGCAAGAGAGGGAACACAAGCAGGGGGAGTGGGAGAGGGAGAAGCAGGCTTCCTGCTGAGCAGGGACCCCAAAGCGGGGCTCGATCCCAGGACCCTGGGATCACGACCTGAGCCGAAGGCAGATGCCCAATGACTGAGCCACCCAGGCGCCCCAGATTTGTAATCTTTAAATGAAGCCTTCATCATTCAGCAAATGACGGCTTTCGTTATTATATTAATAGTGCACAGGCAATTGTCATATTTTTAAAGTTAGGGAATCTTTTTAAAAAGCAGACTCTATACCTTGCCTTTCCTCAAAATTATCTATATCCTAAATGATAATAGCCATCTTATATTTCAGATGAATTACGACCAGAAGCTGTATACGAATAGTTTTCCAGCTAAAGGTCCAGTTACTGTTGGTTATATTTGACATAACACAATTATGTTATATCAGATTATTTGAACAATCCCTTGAATTCATGGACTTTGTCATACCCCCCCAGGAAGTAGTTTTTGAAATGCATTTGGTGTCATGCTAGTGCTATGGGGAACATAACAAAGTCTAAAACAGCATCCCTGGTTTAAAAGGTTTTGTCTTTGAAAGCTTTACAGGAATCCCCGAGTCCTGTCCCCATGGGTACCATCTCGGGGCTGGGGTAGTGCTGGGTGCTGCGGATGCAGGGGATCCACCTGCCATGAGAAGGAGGTTTGCCCTAGAGATGTGGCCACGAGGACAGCGGGGTCTGCAGTAGAAAGGGGATGCCCTTAAAAGGAGAGGATTTAATAGGCAGAGATGGAATCAGGTTAACGTGGAGAGTGAGGGAACCACGGACATACACCATAATTGTGTATTTGGCTATGGACTTCCTGTAACAGGGGATGGGGCTAATTGGCTGTATTTTTCTACAGTGTGCGTGTTCGTCTTCCTTGACCCAATGTATGGGATGGTCAAGCACACAATTAGCAAAGATGTTTCTGTTTATCTGCTTGGTTTTGTGCCTCTTTGTATATGTATTTAATCTCGGACTCTTCTTGTAGAGACTGAAAACAGGGGTATTTCCTGTTCTGTGAAACCTGTTCACAAAACCTAATCAACAGGTTTTTTTGCTGTTGATCAAACCACATTGATTTCTCTTCTCTCTTCAACGGTCAACACGATGGTGAATTTGCAGGTGTGATAGCGAGGACTCAGACATCTCCAAGGGGTTTTGGTTGTGACAAATAGGGTACTGTGGGTAAACTCTGTGTGAACTCTTCTTGGAAAGGACCCCATTCAGAGAAAGCCAGGGTTTCAAGGAAGTTTCCATTCCTATTGTTTGTGCTGTCAGCTTTCCTTGAAGTTACCCTGGCCACACACACCCACTCCCTTTTTGGACTGGGCGATGGTGGTGCTGGATGGCTTACAAAGGAAGCGGGTGACCCTGCCCTCCCCCCCTTTCCTGCTCACCATGCTACTCCCCCTTTCTCTGAAGGAGCAAAGCAGGTCCCTCTAAAGCTGTTCCCATTGTGTGTGTCTGTTCATTTGGCAGTGGGTGTTGCTCAGGGACTTCAGCCAACAGCACCCACGGTGTTTGCTGGCCCAGAGTCCGCGGACTTGAGTCCATTCCCAAGCGTATACGGAATTTCTCTGTTAGGGACAACATATTGTGTGTGACACTGTTGCAGCTGAGTTTACTCCCTCCTTGGTGCGTGTTGAGAGTATGTTTGGGTATAAGAGAAAATGCTAGAAGGTGTTTTCCATGACTTGACTACTCCTGTAGCTGATGGCTCCATCCATTCTGGATGATCTGATTTTGTGGCGTGAGAAATTACATCCTCAC